TGTGTGTGTGTGTGTGTGTGTGTGTGTGTGTGTGTGTGTGTGTGTGTGTGTGTGTGTGTGTGTGTGGTCTGGTCTGAGGCTGGACACTGGATGTTTCATCCACCGTGTCAGCCTGAAAACTACAGCCAAGCCACAGGGCCGCACACGGACAAAACAACTTGTTTGGTGGTCCTGACTGAGTGTGTGCTGGATCAGAAACATGAAACTATGAAGAAGCCAAAAGATTAACAAAACATCATAAAACTCTGAACTAGCTGAAACTTTTGCACACAGGTCTGACAAAGTGAAAAAGCAGCCAGCATTCAAAGGGAGCCCCAGAAAGACCTTCAGAAAATCTTACATCACAGTAAAAGATGACAGGAAGGTTTGGCTGCTTGGAAAGAAAATATAAAGAAATGAGGACTGGATCAGGAGTTTTCCCTCAACACTAAATGTTCACAGATTAAGTTGGACTGAGCTGCAGAGACAAGTTTGGACAGGAAGAAAACCCTCTGATGTGAGACTGAACAATGAAAGGTGTCTTTTATTATTTCACTCTCTTTAGAATAAAAACTGTTCCAAGTTGAAGGGACTCATTTCAATAAGAAATCTGAAAAGGTGAAGTAAAATCTGGACATGAATCTCAACAAGGAATCACACAGGAAAAGCTGTGTGTTGAACTAAATCAGAGTCTGTAAGCAGAGACTTGCCAATCCAACCCAGGCTGCTGGCTTTTAGAGAAGGCCTGTGGGGGCGGAGCTGCTGAGGAACATATGGGAGTAATTTTATGTTGCAGACTGGACGGCTCTGTTTGAAGGTCTGTCAGTAAGCTCTGAAGTTATGTCGAGCTGAAACAAAGGCAGCGATTTGCCTTGAAACATGCGCTCACATATGTACAACCAGAAAATCTCAAAGATGGTAAACATCTCTCTCTCAAAAAAATAAAAAATAAATAAAAAAAACCTACTGATGGACAGTTATTGAAAACAAGTTCTAAACAGGCCAGCTTCTGAATCCAAGTTTGAAAAAGAAAAAAAAGAAAAAAAAGAGAGAGATTAATAAAATCTTGATGTGAACACAGCTGGTGACTCAACAGGAGTCTATGATAAAGAAAGCATGAATATTTAGCAGTTTCAAATACACATATCTGAATTTTGAGGTGTGGATTTAACAGCTGTCAACAAATTTAATAAAATGGAAACTAGTGCTGGGCGGTATACCGTTTTGTACCGAATACTGGTTTTTATTTTTGTTATGATATGAATTTTCTGAACACCAGACATTCCAGTTTAAATAGCGGAACGTTTCGTCGCAGCCGCTAGTGAACTGTTGTTTCCCGGGGGACATTTTTCCTTGCTGCACCGCTATGTGCGTTAGAATGCTAATGTTTGGAGCAGCTAGTTGCAGCCGTGGGTGGCGATTCCGCTGCTTATATTGACTGACGTTTAAAGAAACATCCTGTTTTCACCGTCGCTGAATGTAGTAAACACCTCTTCAGTGACGTGCACAGTTAGATTTAAC